GGTTTTTTTTGGTTTTTTTTAATCTGTGTGTTTGTTTTGTTCTGTTAGAAATGTAATACAATGGTATGGTTGCTGATGACACGATAAATAAATCCAAGAACTAACCAGGACTGAAACTGCTTTGCTTCCAAGGTCAGATCGGATTAGATGCCTTCAAGTCAGATGTTATGATGACCTCAGGGTGAGGACAGCTCTCTTTTCGTGAGAAGACTGAGGCAAAGAAGGCATTGAGTAGCAATGTCTTTTCTCCATCCTCTGTCAGCATTACTGCATCTTCTCTTTGCAGAGGCCCTATCGCCTCATTGTGTTGATAATGTTCAAATGTTGGACATTGAGGCAGGTTCGAGTTGCCGTACTGAGCCAGCAAACTCTGCTGAGTGCTTTCCAATGCTTCTTAAAAGCATCAAGCCTTCCTGGACCTCGGGGACCGCTTGATGTGTGTGTATATGTGATTCTAACATCTCCCCATGGCTGAGGCTTGAGGTTTTCCTTGGCAGTCCAGCATCTCACCAACACTTCCAACTCAGCCGTGGGATTACTTGGCTGTATAATCCCGGCCTTGATTTATTTGAGCACGGACATATTTACTACAGCCCGATAAGTAGCGGTTGCTATAAATATGTCTCGGCTCGGAGGTCCTTTGCTCCTGCGCCAGCGCGGAAGGGAGAAACTGACCCTGAAAAATAAATGGAATGTATCTAATGTTCCAGATTTAGCGGAATGGGGTCTCTGGGTACTTGTAATAAGGTTGTTTTCCTATGTCACTATAAAATTGTGGTCTTCATCGAGGGCTGAGTCAGTGGAGGATGGGAGGAAAGAGAGAGGGAAAACATTCCTCCAAGCATTTTTGCTCTGGGGTGGGAAGACAAATCCCATGTTCTGCATTTTTGCCACTTGTGTCTTCACCGTCGGACAACAAATCCATGAGAAAATGTCCCGATGTTGCCTCCATTTGTGTCACTGACTCATTTTGAGTCCATCAGATTCAGTCCTGGTTGCATCTTGTGGGGAGTCCCATTGTTGCCTCTTCTCCAGCGTCCATTGCACGTTGTGGCCATGCCTCCTATACTTTGCATTCTGATTATTACACATAGTAGTTGTGCCTCTTACACTTGGCATTCTTTTTTAAATCTATATAGTATTTATTTATTTACAACATTTATATGCCACCCTTCTCACCCCGAAGGGGACTCAGAGCAGCTTACAATACATACAATATATTATATTATTAGCATAGTAATATTACATAGCATATTACCGCTCAAGCAGGGGGCTTTGAGATGGTTGAACAGAAGCTCTCCGAAGCTCTAGGTGCTCTTACTGCCTATTACAGGGAAAACCAACTGATCCCTAATCCATCTAAAACACAGACATGTGCCTTTCACCTTAAGAACACACAAGCATCCCGAGCTTTGAGGATTACCTGAAGGGATCCCACTGGAGCATTGCAGCACACCCAAATACCTGGGAGTCACTCTGGACTGTGCCCTGACCTACAAGAAGCACTGCCTGAACATCAAGCAAAAAGTGGGTGCTAGAAACAACATCATACGAAAGCTGACTGGCACAACCTGGGGATCGCAACCAGCCACAGTGAAGACATCTGCCCTTGCGCTATGCTACTCTGCTGCTGAGTACGCATGCCCAGTGTGGAACACATCTCACCACGCTAAAACAGTGGATGTGGCTCTTAATGAGACATGCCGCATTATCACGGGGTGGCTGCTCCCTACACGACTGGAGAAATTACACTGTTTAGCCGGTATTGCACCACCTGACATCCACCAGGAAGTAGCAGCCAATCGTGAAAGGACCAAGGCAGAGACATCTCCAGCTCATCCCTTGTTTGGATATCAGCCAGCACGTCAACGACTTAAATCTAGAAATAGTTTTCTAAGATCTACAGAGACACTTGCTGGAACACCTCAGCATGCGAGAGTCCAAAAGTGGCAGGCTCAAATCCAGAACTTCAACCAATGGCTGATATCAAATGAGAGACTCCCGCCTGGGCACACAGAAGACTGGACGACCTGGAAGGCGCTGAACAGACTGCCCTCTGGCACCACGAGATGCAGAGCCAACCTTCAGAAATGGGGCTACAAAGTGGAATCCTTGACATGCGAGTGTGAAGAAGAGCAAACCACAGACTACTTACTACCATGCAACCTGAGCCCTGCCACATGCACAATGGAGGACCTTCTTGCAGCAACACCAGAAGCACTCCAAGTGGCCAGATACTGGTCAAAGGACATTTAATCAACTACCAAACTCACAAATTTTGTATTTTGTCTGTTTGTTTGTTTTGTTCTGTTAGAAATGTAATACAATTGAGTGGTTGCCCTGACACAACAAATAAATCTGCGTACAGATGACATCTGACCCCAAAACTCCGTATGATCTCTTCCAGCGTCTTCATGTAAATGTTAAACAACATGGGGGACAATATAGAACCCTGTGCGACCCCATAAGTCAATGGTTGTGGGGATGAGCAGGTGTCCCCCAGCAACACCTTCTGGGACCAACCCTCCAGGAAGGACTGGAGCCACTGCAGAACAGTACCCTCCAAGTTCCGTATCCCTGAGGTGTCTCAGAAGGATACCATGGTTATGGTATCGAAGGCTGCTGAGAGGTCCAGTAGAACCAACAGGGACACACTCCCCCTGTCTATGGGGGAGTGAGCTACAGATTTTCGATCAAACAAGCTGTTTTTCTGTTGTGTTTCCCATCAAGGCACTCATTGCAATTCAAGTCTCCCGACTGATTGATTT